ACATGCTCACCCTATATTGGTTGATCTTTGGTTCTGCTCATACTTGTTGAAGTATTCACTAGTATGCAACAGTTTTGGTATCGGAGCAGACCAATCAATGGATCTGCTCACAAGGTAATTCTGATTAGGGAATAGATTGCTCGTTCGATTTTCCAAATCAGTTCTGCATTACTATCGAGATTCAAAGTTGCAAATTTTTGTTTTAATTCCATTCTGTTTTTAATTCGGTATTCTGATTTTCAATTCGGCATACTGTTTTTTATTTCGGGATTCTGTTTTATTTAGATATTCTGTTTTAAATCGGTATTCTGTTTATTTCGGTATTGGAATTAGGGTTGTGATAAAATTTCGGTTTTTCGGTTAGTTTGGGGAAATTCGTATGATTTTGGAACTGTAAAACCAGAAATTCTGCGAAATCGCAGAAAATTAGGGTTGGAATCCGAAATTTTCGCGAATTTTTTTTCCTTCCCCTAAATTGAGAATTTCCGAATACGGATTTCGGCCTTCTGAAAATCGGAACTTGTTAGGTTGAAATCCCCGAAATTTCACGTTTTTTCGAAATTCGAGTGTTTTCCTCTTACCTGACTATCCGGAACTTTTTTTTCAGTTGGCAGACTGTTTGAAATTGTTACCGCAGAACTGCAACTTCCGGGTAGTTCACTAACAAACGGTGAACTCCCGGACCATGGGTGATCTCAAAGGATGCCTAATCTTGCCACAATTTAAAATTCGTTATTAATCATTATTGCAAATTATTGATTAATTTTTATTATGAGACTATTAATTCATTATTAATCATTAATTAAAATTTATTGATTATTAATTCGTTATTAATCATTAATTAAAATTTATTGATTATTAATTCGTTATTATTTCTTATTCCGAATTTTAAGTTGTTTTGGGAGAAAAGTTCATCTTTTTCTTTTGATTAGGTGTCTAGTCCACATTGGGACAGGGGATTGTATGTGAATTGCTTGATCTGTTCTACCCCTGTTCCCACCCTCCCTACCCTCCCCGTAATTTGTGATCACCGGGACTTCTCAAGTACCACATCAGCTCGGGCTGATGTCGATGGAACAGGACACCGGGGCACTGCCACGACGCAGTGCCAGGCTCGCAGTTCATAGCCACTCTGTAGTACCTCCACGAACCAAGTATCAGCAACAGCGACTCAGCAGGCGAACGACTCCAGCGGCATCGAGTACAGCAACTGCAGTACCGGTTACCACCGGGGCTCTTCCCGCATGTCCGGTCCAAAGGGACCACGAGCCGTTGTCAGATTGCCTTCAGCGGGTACAGGCATTTACGGATGCTGTCGCTACCGCTAAAGCAGAGCAGGAGGCAGCAGAGGCGGAACGTCAGCGGCTGGCCAATGAGGCGGCAGCCCAAGCTCAGCGGACTGCTGAGTCTGACGCAACAGCTCGAGACAGACGGAATGCCGCCAGCACTGAGTCCCTGATTCGAAATGAGAATCAGTGGACAATGCTACTCCAAGGCATGATCTTTGTGCCTACGGATGCACGGGCGGATCCAACACTGGTGGAGGGGCTAACCTGATGCTGGGCATGATGAGAGCGGTGATGTGGAATAACACAATGCTGCAGGTACAGCTGCTCACGGACCGACAGCACAGACAAAAGCAGCAACAAGACACTGCCGCCTTAGCAGCTGCCGTCCACGCCACAGCAACACAGCAGCAGCAACAGCAACAGCTGTTGAACTCCACTCTCACACGTGTCAACAGCATCGAGGCTCAGGCCTCAGCAGCGCCAGGCTGCACGACAGACACGGCGAAGCAGCTTAGGGAGCGCATCGACCATGTCGTCATTATTATCGGCGAACTGGGTGACTTCACTAGTCCGGCCACAATCAGCAGCACGGTGGCCGCCCTCAAGACGGACATCACCAAACTGCAGTCACGCTCGGACGCCGCTAAAAAGGCATACAAGATGTCGCGCTTCAACATCGGCAAGTTTGACGACTACAACAAGACAGACACCTTGACATGGTGGCAAAGCTTCCTCACCGAAGCATCCTGCCACACTGTACCGGCCGAAGACATGGATGAACCATACCGCGGCCAATCTGAAATGCACCATCGCCCAACTCCACACGCACATTTCGTGGAAGGAGTTTGAGCAAATGTGGTTCAATCGATTCATGGTCCGCAACGTTGTAAAGGCTGCCATGAACGAGGTCTACACCAGCTCACAAGGGAACATGCCAACTCGAGACTGGACGATTAAGTGGCAGAAGATAGTAACCACTCCAGGCTTCGAGTCGAGTTTTCCAAACCAACGATCCGAATTCTTTTCGCGATCGTGCGCAGGACTGCGGTTGGCACTCGGCAACGAGTACGACTATGCCTCATTCCAAGCTATTCTGGATCGTGCGAACCTGGTCATCCAAACGGATGACAAGGCCGCTAACGAACGGCAGTCCCAGCCGCACTATGTGGCTAAGCAGGGCTACCAACGACCGGCACATAACAATGCCGTGATTCCTGACGAATCAATCGATCTCCACGCTGCAGCAACATCCTCGAGTGATGGAGGAGTTGTCGCAGCACTCCCGCCGAAGCGTCCCAAGAGAGTTCGGAAGAACAAGGCGACACAAGCGACGACATCGACGGGAACTGGGCAGCAACCATGGACGGCGTACAACATAACCAAGGAAGTATTGGACCTTCGTCAACGGTACGGATATTGCCTATGGTGCAATAGTGTAAACCACACTACAGCACAATGCTTGGACAAGGGCAAGGCACGCGTACCCCGTCCAACCAACTCGGGAAACTGAGTTACGCAAGGAGAGGGGTGACGCCTCTCCTCACTCGGCGCGGAACCGGTTGCCTTGCTAGCAGCCGATATCACTACCGGGGAGCATGCGTTAGTCGCTGATTCTCGTGCTACGTATGAGGATTATGCCGCCCAGCTGGTGCCACCATTAGACCAGCCTAGCCACGTGCACTTAGATAGCGTATGCGCATCCTGTACACCGTCGGCAAGTGAACCGGTCAGCTCGCCACTGATTTCCGAGGACTCGACGGCGTGGTCAAGACTCGAGGAGCTTGACCCGCTCACGAGAGAGGACTTCGCTTGGATGCCTCTACCCTCAACCGGAACCTTGCCAATGCCGCATTGTAACGCCTTGATGGCAAATCTACGCTCCTACTTGCACGCTGCAATACCAGCTCCGTTGACGGACGACGGAGTAGCAGTTGGCGATCTCCGCTCCTATCTTGCGAAGATTGACCGCGAGTATGCCACCCAAAGGTACACCGAAACCGACGCGCCTTTGCTCTATATCCGCATTCAAATCGGAAAGGCAACGTGCAGTGCCTTGATTGATCGCAGTGCATCGCGCAACTTCATGAGCCAAGCCTTTATGGCCCGCGCGTTCGAAGGAAGACGCACCCTACGCAAGTTACACTCGCGAATGGCAGCACGCAAAAGTCGATTGACCGATGCGTTGACGGCGTCCCGGTATACTTTGCGCCCCTTGCGTGCGAGCCGTAGTCTTTCGACATCCTCAACACCAAGTTCGACATGATTTTAGGCATGTCTTGGTTGCGTAGCGCCGATCATCCGGTGAACTTTCATGAACGAACCATTCACGTCCGTGATCGGAACGGAGTGTTAGTCCCATGTACGGTTGCGACCCCTCACACTTCGATTGCTTGTCACGTGGTTTCCGTTGCGAGGATTTGCGACGCCATAGCTCGGAATGACGTCGAGGAGATGGGCCTTGTTTTCTTACATGCCCTCCCCTCGCCGGACGGACCAGCCGCGTCACCGCCGGACCCACGTATTATGGAGACGTCTTCGAGGCTCCCACCGGAACGGTTTCGGATCGGCCCATACATCATGGGATCACTCTCGAGGCAGGCGCCGTCCCTCCGCGTGGATGCATTTACCGCATGAGCGAAGAGGAACTCGAGGTGCTTCGCGCACAACTCGATGACCTTCTCGACAAAGGCTGGATTCGCCCTAGTTGTTCGCCATACGGTGCACCGGTTCTCTTCGTCCGGAAGCAGAACAAGGACCTACGGTTGTGCATTCACTATCGAAAACTTAACGCACAAACCGTTAAGAACTCCGGCCCTCTCCCTCGGATTGATGATCTCCTCGAACGGTTGGGCGGCGCGACGTACTTCTCGAAGTTGGACTTGAAGTCGGGTTACCACCAGATTGAAATCCAGCCTCAAGATCAGTACAAGACCGCCTGCAAAACGTGGTATGGGCATTTTGAGTGGGTCGTAATGCCAGTTGGACTCACCAATGCCCCGACAACCTTCCAAGCAGCCATGACAACAGAGTTCTGAGACTTGCTCGATCGTACCGTCCTCATCTACCTCGACGACATCTTGGTCTATAGTAGGACGCTTGATGAGCACCTCGTACACCTTCGTGTGGTGTTGGATCGTTTGCGAACAGCCAAGTACAAAGCAAACCGCGACAAGTGCGAATTCGCCAAGCAAGAGCTTGAGTACGTGGGCCATTATGTGACGCCGAAAGGCATTCGTACCTTACCGGACAAGATCCAAGCCATCGTGGATTGGCCAGAACCCCGTTGCACGACGAACGTACGCTCTTTCATGGGTTTGGCTGGATACTATCAGCGCTTCGTCGAGTCTTACTCCAAAGTGGCAGCTCCTTTGTCGAGACTTCAGTCCCCGAAGGTACCATTGGAGTTCGACGACGCAGCTCGTGGCGTGTTCAATGCGTTGAAGGTGGCGATGCAAGACGCACCGGTCCTCCGTATCTATGATCCCACCCTACCCACCCAAGTGACTACGGACGCTTCCGGGTACGGTATTGGTGCGGTATTGGAACAATGCCACATGGATGGTTGGCACTCGGTCGAGTACTTCTCCCAAAAAGTGCCTCCCATCAACACTCTCGACGACGCTAGGAAGAAAGAGCTACTCGCGTTCCTCACCATTCTCAAACGGAGGCGCCACTTTCTTCTCGGTCGTCGGCGTTTTAGATGGAACACGGACAACAATTCGTTGACCTTCTACAAAACGCAGGGCACGGTCACTAGCACGATCGGTCGATGGATGTATTACATCGACCAGTTCGACTTTGAGCCGTGCCACATTCCCGGTCCCGCCAATCGAGCAGCGGACGCCCTCTCACGACGGTCCGATCTTTGTGCCCTTGTGACCACGACGTTCGACCTCAACGACGATCTGCAGCAACATTTCGTCAACGGCTACAAGTCCGATCCGACGTACTCTACGCTTTATGCGGACCTATCATCGGATAACCCGCCGGCTGGTCATTATCGTATCTCCGACGGGTTCCTACTTCTCCACACGAGAGGAAAGGACTTGTTAGTGGTGCCCCAAGATCGCATCTTTCGGACTCGTCTTCTCTACGAATTCCATGACGCACGACTTTCGGCACATCTTGGCGTGAACCACACATTGGCTCGCCTCCGCCAACGTTTTCACTGGCCCGATCTTTCACGACGTCACGAGGTACATTGAGTCATGCGTAGTTTGCCATCGTAACAAAGGTCGATCTACGGTCCCTTATGGCAAACTGAAACCGATGCCGATTACTCGAGCACCACGCCTCTCCATTGCTATGGATGTTACAGACCCGTTCCCCTGCGATCGCCTCGACCATGACGGCATTCTCACGGTCGTTGACCGTTTGAGCAAGTACACTCGTTTTCTTCCATGCAAGTATCGCGCTACAGTTCCCGAGCTCACCCAACTCTTGCACACCGGCTGGATTACATGCCACGGTGTTCCGGAAGATATTGTGAGCGACAGAGACACTCGCTTCATGTCTGCGTTTTCGACTTCCCTCATGACGGATTCCGGTTCGACTATGAAGCCGAGTTCCGCACGGCACCCGCGCACGGATGGACAGTCGGAACGAGCGCATCAAACCGCTCAAATGATGTTACGTACACTCATCCGTCCCGACCAGAAAGATTGGGTTGACCGGCTTCCCGACATCGAGTTCGCCTATAACACTTCGRTGCACCCGGTGATCTGCATCACTCCATTCGAGTTGCATCACGGTGGAGAGAAAGCCCGAGTCTTTGCCGATCTTCTTCTACCACGGGCCGCCGACGTAGACGTCGCTTGCTCTCCCGCTTCCGTTCGGAAGTATCGGGACTTGCTGATGAAAGTCCGCGCAAACATGCAAAAGGCTCAAATCCGCATGCAGCAGCAAGCTAACCGATGTCGACTCCCATGTCCTTTCCGCGAGGGAGACCTTGTTTGGGTCCTCGCTGAGGAATTCGCGCTCGAGCAGGACGTCTTGTGCAAACTCCTCCTGAAATGGTTTGGACCATGGAAAGTAACTTCTGCAGCAGGCGACGACCCTACAGGTCCTTCCTTTGTGATTGCCATCCCCCCACACCTCCGTGTGCACCCGGTCTTCCATGCGTCGAAGCTGGCCATCTACATGCCACCTTTCGAGGATGAGTTCCCGGGCCGACGATCACAAGATCCGCCGTCTATGGACGGACACCAGGAAGTTGACCGTGTCATCAGGCACCGCAAGTTTGGGAACAAGCCAATGCAGTACCAAGTCACTTTCAAGCAATGTGACCCTGATGACACTCGTTGGATCTCACGCGCAGACTTACAGGCATCTGCACCACTCATCTTCTCCGACTACGAGAACCGGAGACTTGCCAAGGACAAAGTTCGTCCCTCCCGACCCACCCTGGTATCAGACAGACAACTTCGCCCTCGCAGGTAGCTCGGTCTTTTAATGGGGGGAGTGTGTTACAGTCTCCGACTTCACACGGGCCTTCACAGGCCTGACACACCGGTTTAGGGGTACCCAGGCCGGCCTTGCCAAAGGCCAGTCCTTTTTCCTCCCGGTAGGCCCTATGAGGCCACGGGTTGGGCCTCGGCGCCAGCAGACCTAGGTCTGGCCCAAACGACAAACCGTTTGGGCCTGGCGGCGCTCTTGAGGCTGCCGCCCGCCGGTCTGGGCTGAACGGTCATTTCGGCTGTTCAGCCCACGGCGCAGGAGGCCAGCATCAAGGCCGACCGGCCGCCGGACGGTACTTAGGCCGGTCCAGCGGCCATTCTCGGAAGGTTGGAAGGAGAGGCACACCCAGGAGCGGAACGCTGCGCTATTGTTGTTTCAGCGCAGCGGTTGGAGCTGCAGCACTAAGTTTAGCGCACGGCAGCAAAGGAGAGCGAGGAGGGAGACTTACCTGAGTACCGTGAGCGCCATAGCTCTCCGCGGTGCCATCCACGCTCCCGCATCGGCCAAGGCACCATCTTGCACGACGCAGGTTAGGCCTGGGCCCCTCGCCCTCTCCCCTGGCTCTCTGTCTCCCCTCTTCTCTTTCCTCTCTTCTTCTTCTTCAGACTTCCTCTTCTCCTTCTTCGGACTCCCTCTTCTTCTTCTTCAGATTGGAGACTTGATACGAGTTGGACAGAGATCAGTGTTGGACTTCGGTGGCAAGAGGCTGTGATACTTACCGGATTCGAGACTTGGAGATTGTTGGGATTGATACTCGGCGGCATCACAGATTGGACACCGGTTRCATTAGGACTCTGTACCTCCGACATTGGTGACTTATTGTCCACGACATTTGGATCTTGTTCGATGACATTTTGGACTACCATATCGATATCCTAC